AAATCCACCAGCCACTCCTCGGAAGGAAGATGGGGCAATCTACTTCCGTAGTGATACTGCCTCGGAAACCCAAGGAGGGGTTGCTATGAGTTGGGTCTGACTCGTCGGCACATAACAACAACAACAGCATCCCCAAGTTATTTCTCCTACAGAACTGCTGATTGGGTTTAAAATGCCAACCTTTAATTAACCATTGCCACCAGGGCTCTTGACCCAGGCTTTCTTGTTGTTATTGTTATGTGCAGTCGAGTTGCACCTGACTCATAGTGACCCCTTCTTGGGTTTCCAAGGCAGTATCACTATGGAAGTAGATTACCCCATCTTCCTTCCTAGGCCTTAGACTTAGACATTTCAGTGAGGAAATGGTGCCTTTAAAGGGAATTAGTGTCCTTTTGCCTCTGGCCATCAGTGACTTTCTCCCTCTTTCAGGAGGAGAGAGAGAGAGGTCAGCCCAGAGGGTTTACCAGCCCAGGAATAATTGGTCATATCCAGGTTATTGAATTTTGCAGGTGAAATGTGACCTGCCTCAAGAGAGTATGAAACTCTGGACTGCGGTGGCCTAGCAACTCTTCCTCACCCTTTGAAAACAGACACATCCAAGGGCATATGCTTGGCCATGGGTCCTTTCAGCTCACTTGACATCAGTTTACATGTCCTAAGCATGCAACCGGATGTTGGCACTTCGCAGTAGAGTGTGATACAGAGAAACCAGTACAGTGTGAAGCACTTGTTGGCATGTTGATAATCCAGGGGTCGGATAAGCAAGAGATGACTGTCATCATTTCTCGCCAGCTGGCCTTCCTAACTTAGGACTCTTTATTTTACCATTTTAGACATCCTAGTGATAAGCTTTTCATTGTTTTTTTTTTTTTAAGGAAATTTTAAGAAGACGTGATTTTCAACCTAATGATGAAAACTTTTGTCGTTGGAATCAGTGGGTAAGTTTCCTATCAACAGTAGGTAAAGTCACTGGGGATGTTCATATGGTGTTTTCACATGAACATGGTTAGGGGCAGAGAAGCAGTGGGAAGAATTTCTGAGTCCTGGGGAAATGCAGGCCACTGTGGAATTTCAAACAGTGGAGTTCTAGCTACAAAGATGTCAACAAGAAATGGAAGAGTGTCCTATAAACAGAGTAATAAGAGACTAACAAATTTTGTCTGCTTCATCATTTATTTTCTGGAGCTAACGCCAGAAACAAGGCTGGATCAGACATCTCTTTGCTTTGGAGATTTATTGCTCCCCATATAGTGTGCCTCCTATAGGATGGAGGAGAAAGTCTATCAGTTCTTTCCTGTGAGGCCCAGCTGTGGAATCAAACCACCTCACTTCTACTCCTTTCCAACATAATTAAGGGACCATATGTCCCAGGTTGCCTGAGCTAGTCTTTGTTGCCCTAACATAATTATTAATTGTACCCCTTCTCAAAAGTGTTCTAAATAATATGGTCACGTTATTTATAATAAGAGACACAAACCTACAAATAAGACATCAATGACAATTAAAAAGACATTATTTGTTTTGCTGCTGGATTGTTTTCCTCTTTTCTGAGTACATTCACATAAAAACAGAAAACCAAACCTGTTCCCATCCTGTCACTTCCAGCTGATGGTGATCCATGTGTTGCAAAGTAGAACTATGCTCTATAGCGTTTTCTTGGCTGTAATCTTAAGCAGTTCACCAGGACTTTCTTCCACAGTACTGTGGGGGAGTTTGAACTGCCAACCTTTAGATTATTAGTCAATCGCAAACCATTTGTGCCACCTGGGGACTTGCATTTGTAATATATATGGCCTCATTGCAGTGCCTGAGGCATTTGACTGCTAACTTTCTGGAAGGAAAATGGAGTCTACTTCCGTGAAGATTTACCTCTTCAGAAACTCAATGTGGATCACTGTGAGTCGGAATCAGCACAATGGCAGTGAGTTTAATTTTTAAAATATTTGAGAACATTTGCAAGTTTAGGAGCTCTGGTGGCATCATCCCTAAGGCATTTGACTGCTAATCAGAAGGCTGGCGGTTCAAACCCACCAGCCACTCCTTGGAAGGAAGGTTGGGCAAACTACTTCCATAGTGATACTGCCTTGGAAACTCAAGGAAGGGTCACTGTGAGTTGGATCTTACTCGATAGCAGTGAGTTTGGTTTGGTTTTATTTGAAAGTTTGTAGTTTTGGGGAGATCATTGCATTTCTATATTAAATTACTATAATGCTTCATCAATTAGAAGTAAATTGAATGAATTGAATGTCAGAACTCTGCCTTGCCTTCCCTCCCATTTGATCTTACCCAAATCTGTTCAGTTTTTCTATGTTGTACCTCTCTTGTCCACCCCTTCCTTTGCACACATATTGCCACTATCCTAATAAAAGCACTTATTCCCAAAATCCAGTCTCCTCCTAGTCTTTACTATTCATCTGTACTCTTAATACAAAATATTTTAAATTATTTCTGTCACCTGGTGAGCAATCTTCTTGTGTTCTTAGTTATTTAGAATGAAATCTGAATTCCTTGGTGTATAAGGAACATCCATAAATAATATAAGAAATTGAAAATTCCAAGGGTAACAGGCTTCAGGAAAGGTTTGATTCAGGAGCTCAGTGTTAGTACCAAAAACTCAGTGTCTTTTCATCTCTTCTCCATGTCTTTCTCTGTTTGGATTCACCCTACAGTTGGCTCTCCTTTTGGTCACAAGGAGCTACCAGTGGCTCCCAGGCCTTCAGAACCTACCACCAAGAAAAAAAAAGTACTTATATTACCTCTTTGATTGGACCAACTTTTGTCATGGACCAACAGACATTGTAGCAAAAGGGATTACACTGATTGGTTTAGACCAATGGGACTCTGCTTTGGAATTGACATTGGGTCAGTCTCAACCAGACCTCAAAAAAAAGGGTGGCGACAACTACAAAGTCCACTGCAGGATCCAACCCCATTTTCATTCTGCATGTGTGTGTATAATATTTTCCTCTTTTCAATATCCTAATATAGGACCCTCTATCTAGAAAAATGTCCCGAGCTTTCTTGCGTGTGCATTAGGTTCTATCATAATTATCTAATAAAGTGTCCTCCCCAGTGTCTCTTTATTAGTGTCTTAGTTACCTAGAACTGTTATAACAAAAATTACCAAGAGTCGTGGCTTTGAAGAACAGATTTTTTGGGAGACTAGAAGTTTGGGAGACTAGAAGTCCAATCGGGGCACCAGCTCCAGGGAAAGGGCCTTTTCTTTGTCTCTTACCTTCTAGTATCTGCCAGCAATCCATGGTGTTCCAGGGCTTATAGATGCATCTTCCTCTATTATTACATAGCATTCATCTTTCCCCTGTTTATGTCTCTTTGTCTATTCTGCTCTTTTTATAAGGTACCACTCAGAAGGGATTAGGTTTAGGACCTACCTCCCTCTGCCAGTATGGCCTTATTGACATAACAAAAGGAAACTTCTGTTTCCAAACATGATCCTATTCCCAGGTACAGGGGTTAGGATATCAGCCTATATTTTGGGGGAGCACAGTTCAATTCATAACCATTAGCAAGTGCCATGATTTTGTTGCTATGAAAACGCTGCCAAACTCAGCTGAAATAGCCTCTCTGCCTTCCTTCCTTGTCTCCAAACTCACTGTTTTGTATCTTTCTTGTGTAATTTCCACTTGCTGCCCTATGAAGTCATTATTCAACTGTAACTGTAAAGAATAGCAAGAATTCTAGAGGGGTTCTGTGGGTACCTATAAACCTGAAAACATTATATGTGGATGAAACTGTTAATTTTCTGGAGAAATAGTTTATAACCTTCATCAGATTCTCAGAGTTCCGTGATACAAGAAAAGCTGAAGATCCATGGGCTTTGGAGTTAGATTTGTATCCCACCTCCATTACTTACTGATTGTTACCTTGGGCAAGTTTTATTAGTATATAACTTTTCAACCTTTAATTTCCCTCAACTGGCATTGGGAATATAATAGCAACACAAGGAAGAATGGATTCTCTACTTGTTTAAATAATTACAGACTGCCTTTCTAACTTTTCCTTGACACACTGTCATATGCCAAGCACAAGGAACCTTCCTGTCCCATAACATAAACAATAAATAGGCTCGGAGTTGTGAATTTATTTGGGTATTGTAACAAAGAAGGAATTGGTACCAAAGTCATTCACATTTTCCTTCCCTACAACCTAGGACAGAATATGCTGTCTGGGCATTTTTCCCCTCTGATTGGATAGCACATGCCAAGGGAATTAAAAAAAAAAAAAGCACCTCACTGCCATCGAGTCAATTCTGATTCATAGCAACCCCTCCTTAGGTTTCCGAGGCAGTATCTCTATGGAAGTAGATTGCCCAGTCTTCTGAGGAGTGGCCAAGGTAATGGTAGCATGAATGTACAAGGAGAAGGGTTAAGTCTTAATGTGATACCTTAAGACTTATTTATACAAACTGAACTACCTTCTAGCTGGTCCATTGCCCTTAATGCTTGTACCCTCCCCACCAAAATGAGGTGCTTATTTCTCATTGGCTCCAGCTAAGTCATTGGTGAGAGATCTAATTACTATTGGTTCGACTGCGTGATCTTTACAAAGGAGGTAAGTCGGAAAGATGATACCTTTTCTAACCAGGTTGCTCAGACCACAACAAAGTTATACCTGTTTTTGCTATTTCAAGCCAAAACTTAGTACCTAAACTATGGACATTCAATATGGTCTGTAGATGTTTTTTAAAGCAGGAAAAATTGTAACTTTTTTCAACACAGGGCATAACATTCACCCACTTTTCCTTATTTTAAAGGACATCACCTATATCCATATTTTAAGGTCAAATGAAAAATCTTGTGAATCAAGTTTCTCCTACTTTGTAGGTATAAAGTGTTTCAGTATTAGTTGAATTACATCCAACAACCAATTTTGATGAATTAATGTGAGTTCCTTTTCTATTCCAAACACATTGGGATTTATCTCATCTGTGATCTCAACCTGGGATTAAGGTTCTTTATTTTATTCTGAAATATAATAGTTTTAAACTTCATTGAGGAGACAAAATTGTTGTGATTTTAAATAGATGAGAAATCCAACTCAAAACTATCTTGCAGAAATTGATGTGTTAAAAGAAGTTTTTCATGACAACTAAGATTAAGGACTCAGATTCCCATAATGATGGAATTGCTCTTGGGCTACTCTGACTCAAAGATCAGATGTAGTTGGGTTTTCACATGGAAGGTTCTTGAAAATAAATGTACAAGCAACTGTTTTTTGTGCTATGGACATTTGGTATGGTGAAGTCTTGACCTCTTCTCAGAGTAATGGTTTTATATACAGAAAATAAAATAACAGAAAATACAAAGGAAACCAGTTACGTTGAAATATAGTTATAAAAATATTTTTTAAAATAATTGCACATACTTGTTAATGTAGTAAATAACAATATCCAGTGATGGGTCTAAAAAATGTCATGAATTTGAAATAATGAGCATCAGTGATATTTTAAAATATGTCCCACAACTGAAGCTTGATATGAAAATATCAGAGATTTCTGTTGGTAACAGAGTCACAGGTATTAATACGTCTGTGGTTTGTTTGTTATATTTATAATGAAAGGAAATGCTCATTTTCAGTTCCAATTTAGTGAAAATATGGATGTAGTTTGGTTCCCACTGAAGTTCACAAAGACTCTGAATTCCGCCCACAGACCTTTGGAGATACATGAGCCCCAGCTTTAAAAACTCTGGAGTAAATAAATGAATAGAGAAGTGCCTCCTCTGTGCTATGCATGGTGCCAGATGCTGGGAAATTAGATCAGAGAGGAGTTTGTCAGTTCCTGTTCTCCTCGATGTCACAGTCCAGCCAAAATGGACAGATGTGATGTGATATCCTGCAATAGAACTCCCATCTGCCCCCAAACCAGGGAGAGAAGGGTAAAAGGAAGCATCCTAGAAAGGATGTAATTTCATGGTAAACAAAAAAAAAACAAACACACTGCTGCCAAGTCATTTCTGATTCATAGTGACCCTTTAGGATAGAGTAGACCTGCTACATAGGGGTTCCAAGGTGGTAAATCTCTATGGAAGCTTATTGCCACACATTTCTCCCACAGAATATCTGGTGGGTTCAAACTGCTGACCTTCAGTTAGCAACTGAGCTGTTTAACCACAAATTCATGGTAGGTGGCATGTAATAAGCCACTCCCTCATTTTGTGTATTGAAACAAAATCACCATTACCATATGCAATTTTATATACTTGCACTAAAATGTTACTGCTATTATTTGAGTTGAAGTGACCTATGAATTAATATTTTGCCACAGACAAACATCCTTTTGCTTCCAACACAATTATCTGTATTTTTAAGTCTTAGTTCTACCCAGTTCACTTGTCCCATAGTTGCCTTTCTCTTCCAATCTTCCTAACTTATTTCTTATCACTTACCACATTGGATCTGCCTATGCCTGTGGTTTTGCCAACAGAAAAAGAAATGACTTAATGCTTAAGAAATATTTTTTCTTAGATCTTAAATATTATTTTAAATAACCTTTTCCCCTAAGATTATTTTTAAATGTTTTATATCTTTTATTTATGTTTTTTTAATGCATTTTTCTTTCTTGATTTTTTTTTTCTCTTTCCCTTGGTTCAGTGTAACAAATGGTGGGAAGACAACACTGGCTAAGAATTTGAAGAAATACCTCCCAAACTGCAGTGTCATATCTCAGGATGATTTCTTTAAGGTATCTATAAAACTGTTTAGATAATTTATTTAGAACAAAAACGTTCTAATAGCAAAGTTCATTGGTTTACTTCCAAAAGGTCTTGTTAGGTGTGTGCCTTTTATAGTTGAAGTCTCCATGCAGTAGTGTTACTCATCCACTAGATGGCACCAGTTATTGATACTGATCTTTGATTTTATTTATCATCATCATCCAGAGCACGTTTAAAGATTTATTCTATGATTGTATTATTTTTGCAGACTGTTTTGATTGGCCCTTTATTATATTTTTCTTTTTTTTGCAGCCAGAGTCTGAGATAGAGACAGATAAAAATGGATTTTTGCAGTATGATGGTAAGATGACAATTTCATAAAGCATTATATACCAATTTCATTCTCTTTAAAACCCATAAAACTTCACTAGCTATGGAGGTCATCTCAAAATGTGTTTAAATATATTCTTGTATTTTAAACCTGGGAGCTCTGGTGGC